TCATCTTCAGACTATGGTGCCCTTGATTGTCCACATGGGAGATCTTGGGTTGGGACGAGAAATAAATAAATTGTTATACCAAATCACCTAAAGATGCCTGAGAAATGAGCTGGCAACAAGATGGAGGTAGCATCATGAGAATGTTAGTTGGGTAACTTCCTTCTGTGGCAAGCAAGATGAAAGGACAAGCCCCAATAATAAAATAGCAATGGCAAAAGAATTTTTATTTTATTTACTGGACAGGTTAAAAAATGATCATTCCTTAATAGTCTATTTTTCAGCCTAAATCTCTTTTCCAGTGGATTTTAAATTTGTGTTGGCTGTTTAGCTGCAAACTATGGGTGTTAAGGGAAATGCATCAGAATGTTCAGCACTATTTCAATTGTTGAGGAACTGACCATATATCAACCTTGCTGTCCTCTATCTTTTTCTTAGCCAAGGCAGAATGCTTAAATATTCTTTCCTTATTTGACCCCAAACTGAAACCACAACTTGTTCAGAATTCTAGAAGTGATGTTCCACAAATTTGCTGGTCATTAAATGGATGAGTAGGGCTTTGATACAATTAATACTCATTTTTCCAGTTTATATACCACTTCTACAATTTCTATCTATGATAAAATTATTCATTGTGTTTTGTCATATTCACAGTTCTCCATGCATCAAACAGACAGGAAGATGTTTAACAATAACAACGCAAGTAATATATTTATTGCTATAATGCTAATTAAAAATACTAATTGCAATATTTTCCTATCGACATATAATAGACCTTTGCTAAATTATTAATTTTAGAAGTTAAATTTATTCCAAGATATTTCTTTGGTTTTTATGCATCAAGCCAACTGAACCAATATATGCAATGATTAATTCTCTCTTCTCCTCCCTTTAGGTATGAAGGAGCAAGAACCATAGCCAGTTCAAAAAGTGAATTATCTGGGATGCTGTGGAATTCATTCAGATGTGTCCTGCATTTAATGAAATAACTAATTCCCCATATCTTCCAGCTGCCCATGTTATGATAATGCTATATAAGGTTCAAAGCGTGTCCCAGCAGGTGATAGCATCTGGATAGCCTTGTCTGGAATGGATAGCTAAGGAGGGTTGGACCAGGTTAGTATTTGGATGGGAGAGATTTTTAGGACTGACAGCTAAATTGGGAGGTTTATCATCTTGTAAGTGGTCTACAATCTTAATATTTGCTAATGGTCTCCTATCCAAGTACTAACCAGCTTCCACCTTGCTTTGATTTTTGAGACCAGCCAAGGTTGGCTATGTTTTGGGAAAGAGAAATGGATGAGAAATAGATTGGGGATGTGCTTCATTTTGGATACAAACTCAAAAAGATGCTTTGGGGTATGCATGTATGCATGCACCATATCTGTCACCGGATTCTTTAGAATGTTAAGACTTTCCAAAGCTTATAGAGTAGCCATGCATGCCTAGGAAAATTAAAGAGATGCTGACTGGATACCCACATCTGCAGAAAAGCACCCTTTTTTATTTAGATCTAAAATGATACGTCTCCCAAGATGCCATTTTATTTGCTGTACTGATAGGATTCCTCTTTCTTCATTCTGGAGGGACCAGTAGCTGTAACTGAATGTCAACTGAGTGCTGGGTTTCTCTGTGTCAATAGTGATACCTGTCATGCCAACAAAATTCAGCTTTTTTGACCTCTTTTTTTTCTGGGCGTGAACTTGAATATACTGTATGTCACCAGAATTGCCCAAGTGATGCTGAGAAAAAAAAAACAGGTTTCACTTCTAAAATGGAATATGTTAAGGGGGCAACAAGCATAAGTCACTTCTAGGTGAGATGGGTGGCATGCACATTAAATTAAATTAAATTAAACAAATAAAAAAGTAGTAATCATGAGCACGTTGGAAAAGAAAATCAGAAGTAGGGAAGAAAATAGGCTCGGAAAGCCTGTTTCTCAATATATTGAAATCAATGGAATAACCAACCAGTTCATAAAGTAGGAGAATGGATAATAATCAACAAATTTCTTACTTATTAATTGCTCAGCCAATTTTAATCTGGTGGCTTCCACTCATAGTGGAAGCAAACAGATTACTTCTCAGATCAGGAGCATCCTCAAGAGGAAGTATTAAAAAAAATCAAATGGCCACATTCATATTATGGAAACCATGGCCCACCTATAAATGAAGTAACACACATAAAAACACAGGTGGGCTTTCAATTGTGCAACTTTTTTGAACCCCCCCCCCCAATGGACGCTATACCTCAACTGATTGTTCTTACACTTTTGAAGTCTCCAGAAAACATTATTTTGAAGCTAGGAGTGCTTTGATGGCAATAATATAGAGTAAAATAAATAAATAAGATGAGGAATGACACTTAGACTTCCTTTAGAAAGTTGTTTTGTGAATATTCTCTGAATCAAAACATCTTCCCCCCTCCTCACACAGTCTGATGAGGTGGACAGGAAATGCATAAGATACGGGTTTTTGGGGGGCAGGGAGTGTGCTGAACGAACTGACTGACTGAATCTTTGCTAGTCAATTCCAGCACTGCATTCATTAAAAGTCTCTTGAGCAACAGATTGTGGCAACAGAACTGACAAGCTGACAGGGTGTTAATTTTAATGGGAACCATTTCTATTTCCACATGAAGATCATTTTGAAAAGGGTTGAAAAGGTTTATTCTCCTGCTTGTAGCTATTTTTCAAGCAGCTCTTAAATGTTAAGAAACAAATGTGTACTATAAATCATCTTATAAAGAAAGATTAGCAATTAATCTTTAGCGTGCTAAGGAATAGACCTAGATACCCTTTAGGCCAGTTTTTCAAAATAAATAATAATTAAACAGCATCTCAAAACAGGTGGTGGAGCATGGCACAATTTTAATGCCAAGATTTCTTTTGACTCCTCATTTTTCTTTTAAAACAATCATTTATCATCATTTTTAAGAGACAGGGAGCCCAAGTTACAAACATACAAAACTGTGATTAATTTAAAGTTGATTAATTTTAAAATTCTGCATAGGCTTTGGGGGATGAAGAATCATGGTCATGTGAGAATCATGTGTATAAAAATCTGAGGAAGAGGAGAGCTGGTCTGCAAGGTCCAAAATTTTCTATGATAATCATAAAGCATGAAGACTTGGTGGCTGTTTATTAACCTAGTCAAAAGCAGTGGCATGGGGGTATCCATGGGAGCCAAAAAGTCAGCTGCAACAGTATGACTTTTTATATGACCCATGCATGTAACACATATAAAAACAACAACAACAACAGGGTTTCAACTGTATGGTTGCAGATGCCATCCTTTCTTGACCTCCTGCAGACAAATCAGGCAAATCTCATCCATTAAAAACCAATCTTCTTCAGACTGGGCCACTGTTCACTTATGCATTTCACTTATCTTGTTTTTCCAGCCAAAACCACTGGGCCCAAATGTCACTCCTGCAATTCCCAATTCTCTCTGAAGCAGCATTCTATTGAGTGAGACAGGGGGTCCATGTGACCAAGTTTGTTTCTTTCCCTGCAGTCTCAATGTCTCTTGTTATGAGACCGACCAGCATACATAAACCATGGATATGGATAGAATACATAAACCATGGATGTGGGTGAGGCGAGCATAGAGCAAGGATGAGAGAGAAAGATGTGCATCCTTAAAGGAATCTTTCCCTCCTCCCACCACCACAGGAAACATCCTGCATCTGAGCGGCCCTTCAGTTCAGGAGATAATGATGGAGACTTGTCTTCTGCGGGGAGCCCTTACTAAACTCATTTCCTTCCTGAATTTAAAAAAAACCCACTTACTGCATTTGCTCCATTGGTGCCAGTTAAGAAGCTCCAGTGAGAAGAGCACACTGAATTTAAACAAAAATTTTAAAAAGGTAAGAAATATGATTCAATTTTCTTTTTGGCTTGCACCGTTCTTTCTTTTTTTTCCCTTTTTTTTGCACCTTTTCTCTTTTTCTTTAACCTTGCTTATTCTTCATGTTAAATTGCTGAAGATAATCTGCAGCATATCCATCTTTAAGCAGCTAAAACCTGATTTAACATCATAGTTTCTTCATGAATAAACACACCCACAAAAACAAATCACCTTTTTCCTACTGTAAATACTAACCATTTTAATAAATAGTATTTCATACTGAGATAAGGATTAAATATTCCCTTTGGGGAATCATTCATTTTACCCTGACTGATAAATGCATTCTGAGCACCATCTCTCTGTACTTTAATAAGTTCTAAAGATTCTTAGGGACAATTTATATAATAAAATTGAATAATAGTAATAGGGTGTTGTACTTTGTACAAAACCTATAAGCCCTCGGTGGATTATTCCAGGCTTCATTAGAAGAAACAGGCTATCAAAATCTTTTTTTCTTCTCTACTTTGCACTGGTGAAATCAGTGGCTGTTGTGACCTGCCAGCTGCCAGTGGAGCTGGCGGCAGACTCGGACAGTGAGGAGGTTGAAGAGGAACGTGGGCCAGTCCTGGAGTCTGGGGAAGGCTTTAATGAATGCTCTGCATCAAAGGCAGAGATGGGGCCAGGGCCGTCTGATATTTATCAGCTGTCTTCGGAGTCAGAGATAAATGGGACAGAAGATCAGTTGGAGCCTGTTCCAGATGTGCATATACGCAGAGCTGTCAGGAAAAGGGAATAACTAAGGAACAGGGGTCAACTCAGAAGTAAAGACACAAGTGGACGCTGAATGGCCCCTCCCATAGGGAATAAGGAGGTCTTATATTCAGGGAAACAGGGTATTATTGTGAAAATTTGCTTATCTGAGTCCGTGCCTCACAGAGACTCTTTGCCAGGTATTTCATTTTACAGTGTTGCGACTGGAAACTTGGCCTGGCAACTATCCAAGGGCTGATAAGGTCTGTTTTTGAATTAAACCTTGAAAGGCTTATTGCTGGGACTTTTCTGAATGTGAATGCCAGGAATTCACATTAATCAAATAAAAAGGAGGGGAGGGGGGTTCGGGACAAGGAGTCTGTTTCGTGATTCTGTTAAGCCTAGGTCAGAACAATGGCATTTGACATATATAATGGAACATTTTTAACACCCTGTTTCATAATTGGTAAAGTTGTTATAATGTTAGACTAGAAATCAGTAAACTGTGAGTTCTAGTCCTCCCTTAGGCCCAAGCCTACCTGTGTGGTGTTGGGTCAGTCACTTCTCTCAGCCGTAAGACAAAGGAACTGACTCAAGCCACTTCCATTCTGCCTCTTATGGATTCTCTATTTCTAGAAGATTTTAAGAAGAGGCTGGTCAGCCACCTCTTGCTAACAGTTTAACTGGTTTTCTTGCACACTGAAGGAGGTTGGATTACCTGAATCTTGTGGTCTCTTCCAACTCCACAGTTCTGTGATTTTATGAATGATAAAGCTAACCAGAGTCACATGTTGAGATGGGCGGCTACAAAAATCAAATTAAAAAAAAAAAAGTTAATGCACATCCAACGTATACGAGAATAACATCTGATTGACTTCTCTTTGTGCTGCCTTAGAAAAGTGGGTCATCCACATAGCATTACAATTATTCAAAGACCCATTTAAAACATCAGCTCACTCTCTATGTTAGGTAGGGTGTCATGTCTTAACAAAAAGAACGCATACATAAGAAGCATAGAACTGAAAGCCTCAAATGTCTGTGCGTCATTGGCTTATTTAGTACTTCATCTCAACTGAATGCATGCATTGACTCAATTGAAAAGCAAAGCTTTTATGATAATATCAGATTATGAAAGATGCATCGATGTTTGCTGTATAATGTATCACCAACAACGCAAGCTGTAGTCTTCGGAAAATGAGCAGCTGAATGAGCCATCAAAGACAAAACAGAAAAAGAAGAGGGAGGGAGGAAAGGGGGGAGAGATGTTATTTTAAAAGAGCTTAATTTTTTTAGTAGTGTGATCCTGTGTGTGAAACTGCTGCCTGGTAGAAAAGTCCTCATCACTTAGCAGTGGTGATTCCTTGGAGACAGAAAGAGCCACCCTAATGTAGTGGGTGATCTATATCAATTCTGAAAGCTAGTGCGGTCAACTACTAAATGACTACTATGACAGGTTATCACTAATGCAGTGTTTCATAGCCACAGCAACTTGAAGATGTCTAAACCTGACTTATGGGAATTCAAGTCCACACATCTTAAAGTTGCAGAGGTTGAAAAACATTGTCCTGAAGGAAGAGGTTAAAACAATGTAGGCAAATAGGGCCTTCTGACACTCCAGAACTTCTTTAGGGCCTCTCTCCGCCAATCATAGTCTCTGTAGACCTCCTCAGAATGGGTGGGCATGAAATTCATATTCTGTTTTAGACATTTCTGGAGTTGACTAAATTTGAATAGACCAGCCTTTCTCAATTATTTTGTCCTGGTGGAACCCTTGAAATAATGCTCAGGTCCCAGGGAACCTTGCCTAAAAAAAACAAAATGTATGCAAACTCCACTATACAACTCATTTCTAACCTACACAATTCACATTTTGCAATGTTACCAAAAACAGAAAATGTGAGTTGCAATGCATGAACATTTATCCTATCACTGGGAATGCTAACATTAGTTGCAGTGATGGGATTCAAATAATTTAACAACCAGTTCTCTGCTAATTAGGTGGCATGCAAAGTTTTCTCTCTCAATCACAATCTCTCATACAACCCCAACAGAGAAAGGCTGGAATTGAAACATGGGGTTAATGTATTCAACGGCAAAATATTATTGTTGAAATACAAAAGCATCAGAAGCATCCAAAAAATATGAATACTTATGGCTGTTGAGCAGAGTAATTGAGGTGAAAAGAGAAATCTAAAATAAGATGGAAGAAGGGAAGAGGGATTATCTAAGAGATATGGCCAGTGGAGAATCCATATTTGTTCTTCAGTCACTGTCTTATCATGATGTTTTGGTGATCAAATTTCTTCCCATGTAGAAAACTTGGAAAGTCTAACTAAGAATATAAAATCACTTTAACACAGATTGCCTTCTGGGTCCAAATTTAAACACACAGTTTGGGCAGCACCACTGTCACCTCCTGATGTTCTTGTATATAACTCCCATCTTCTAGTTGAATAGGACAGACATGAGCTCACACATATTATGGTGTTTTTTGTTGTTGTTCCACAGCTACAAGCAACGCAGCTACAATAATCGCAATGATCAAAGGGCTAATCATGTTGTTGCTCTTAAACACAACCCAAGCTTGGATCTGCATGCTCTGTCCTTGCAAGAGTCTTGATTCCTGGGGTTGGGCAGCCAACTGCAATTTGATGGAACTCAAGGAGATGCCCCTCCTGAACTCAAGCATCAAAATTCTTCATCTGCAAAACAATAATTTGACCACTGTTCCTCTTGGTGCTTTGGATAACTTGACCAACTTGGAGGAAATTGATTTTTCCAACAACCCTTGGCACTGTGACTGCTCTATTTTATATCTCAAGGAGTGGCTGGCAGACTTCAATAAAAGTTCTCTTGCAAAGGCAACCTGTAAAACTCCAGCTTTTCTAAATATGAAGGCCTTGAGCCAGCTGAAAGGGAATGAACTGGAGGGATGTAGGAAACCCCTGCCAATTAGTTGCCTTGATTTTTTTTGGACGGACCTTGGTCTGATTATTTTGGCAATCATTGTCTTAATTTTAGCAGCATGCGTTTTGCAACGTTCAAAGCAGTTAGTTTTGCAAGCCAGCAGAAAGCAGCATTCTTCTGAAGTCCCACTGCTACAGTTCCATGACCTGGAAAATCGGAAGTCCAAATGAAATGCTGAAGTGGGCAGTAAGAAGCTGTAAGAATAAAACCATCCATGTAATATTGTATTTTGTGAACTGAAAGTGCCTATAGTCACAACTAAAGGCCTCTTTTGGTGAAGATATAACACTTTCTCTCTCACACACATATTTCCATATGTGTATGCCAATAATCACTATCATGATATTAAGCCAATAATTCTGACAGATAAGTTGTTTTGTTATGTAATTGTACTATACTTATTAATGCTCCGATATGCATAATTGAAATGTGTTTTCATGTATCACAGGTTCTGTTGCTATGGCATTCAGTCATTCAGCCATATAATCATTCACAAAGAGAATAAATAATCCTGATCTTACACAAATTTTGTTCAGTGTGATAATAAAGCATATTCTTACATATTAAAAAATGGAGTTACTCACATATTCACTGAATACCAGGGCTGAGAATTTAGAGCTTTCATTTTTTGCAATTCCGTCTGAAAAAAAGAATTTGAATGAGAAAGCTACATTGTATAATTTATGGTTCCGCTGATAAAATATTTTATGGTCAGAATATTTAGGATTGGAAAATAGTTTATTTTTGCAGCGTTGCAATCCCTATCCATTTAGAAATTGGAAGTTACCAAACCATTTACTGAAGGGATGATTAATTTTTTTAAAAAAAATATGGACACAATTATTCAGCAATTTGATGAGTGAGTTTGGTGGCTGTGTCACAAATACATCCATATTTCCTTCACAGGGTTCTACTTGGGCTTTTTGCCAAGCTCTGCTTCAGATTATTCTTTTAATATGAAATTGCACTACCATATTCTAGATATCTACAGTATTGGGGTGGGGGGGTGGAATGGTTTCCATTTATGATCTTTCTGTATATTTTCCCATTATTTATTTCACAATATGTATTTGTTATTTATCCTCTTGCTTGCTCTAAGAAGAATTAAGGGAGTTAAATGGACAAATTGCACAGTTTTTGTATTTCTAGTGAATGTTGACAGTTATCTACTAGAATATGGGCGTATCCAAGGACTTCAATTTGCTTCAATCAACTGTAGTCTTAAATGTATAGGCTGAGTAGTCCTAGTCTACAACGTGTGATAATCATTTCAGAATAATGCACCACAGTGCATCTTATTATTTAATAAGCACTATATCACTGAAAATTGTGTTGGATTTATTGATTTAAATGAAGCAAATTGATAGTACACACTCCACCAATTCTAGTAAAGTTCCACAACACAAATTTCCTTTATTTTATTCCACAAATATACTTCAAATTATTGAAGAGTTCTCAGTTATGCTCAGAAGACACCTGTCTATATTCTATATAGATGATATCATGTTTGAATTTAAGGGTTTTTCATCCAAAATCATTTTTTATGCTAGAGAGAGCATGGCAAAAATAAATGAATTTGCATGAAATTACAATTATTTAACTAGCATTGGATCAAAATTTAATCATTGTAACATATTACAAATATGTAATTTAAGTTAGTCTGGATATAAGTTAGTCTTGACCATAAATTTAAATGAAACTGCTTCAAGCATGGCAAACCATGGATTTATCAAGGATTATCATTATCTCCTTAAAGTCTAAGCCCTTTTACAAATGATAAAACGTTTTACTTAATTTATTTCATCAACTTGGACTTAATACTCCCATTTTTCTCATGAGCTTGGACTTAATACTCCCATTTTTCTCATGGGTTATATGAGATATAAATCATGCACTATATCAGTCTTTTCCACCATGGTTCTCTACTGATAAGAGGAACTAAAATTCCCAGAATTCCCAAGCAAACACATCACTGTTGAAAATGTTAGCTGGTTGCTCAGGGAAGTATAGTCCCAACATATTTATAGAATTCCCAGTAGGGAAAGTTTATTATCCTACTGTATTACAGAAAGAGACTAGCTTTGCAAATGTCAGACATTTACCCTCTCAGCAGCCATTGCAAGCCTAACTAATGATAAAGAATGGTAATACCACACCTGACTGTGCCCTAACCCTAACCTTACGTAGCTCACAAAAGTAAAAGAAATTACAATCAAATCAATAAAACATAAAGATAAAACAAGGAAAGCATGATGAAGTGAAGGGTCTTACTCTTTCTTGCCATAGGCCTGGGTAAAAAGCCAGGTGTTGAAGTTCTTCTAAACAACAGCAGCAGAGTGGAGGTCTATCCAGATCTCAGAGAGAACCTTGTCTCAAAGGGCAGGTGCTGCCTACAGAGAAGGCACCCTTCAGGAGTCCCAATAGCTTAATCAGGGGAACACAGAGCATGCCAACCCTGCCAATTGGCTGCAGCAGATACAGAGGCAGGCAGTTTCTCAAGTAACCAGTCTATGCCATGTAGAACTTTATAGGTAATCAGCATCTTGAATCACACCAGGAAGCAAACCAGCAACCAGTGCAGCTCGTGAAACAGAGGTGCTATATGCAGTGGTGGGATTCACATAATTTAACAACAGGTTCTCTGCACCAATGATTTCTTCCAACAACCAGTTCACCAAACTGCTCAGAAAGTTAACAACTGGTTCTTCTGGAGTGGTGCAAACTGGCTGAATCCCACCACTGTCTACATGGTCATATGGAACCATGTCCATGACTTGTGTGGAGCTTCTGGGTGATCACCGACAACCCCATGNAGTGGTGCAAACTGGCTGAATCCCACCACTGTCTACATGGTCATATGGAACCATGTCCATGACTTGTGTGGAGCTTCTGGGTGATCACCGACAACCCCATGTAGATAGTGTTGCAATAGTCAAGACACAGTGCAATTAGGATATAAGTGGCTGTATGAAGGGCTTCCTGATCCAGGAAACGGTGCAGTTGGCATACCAGATAAGAACTAAGCCAATTAGTCAAGGAAGCTTCAATCCAGAAATCCACAACGAAGGGGCAACCATTGCCTTTGAACTCTTAAAACATAGCAGCTGTGTTTTAAGCCAGTATTATGTCACTCATATTAATCAATAGATACCATGGGAAGGACAAGTAGACAGTCAACATTTTTAGTTTTTGGATCATTCTTTTTTTTTTTAAAGGTAAGTCAATATTATCCAAATTCGTCAAAAGAAATGAAAAAGTGATAGAGAACCAGTAACTGGCTGTTACACAAAGAAAACTAGCTGGGTTGGGGATTTCCCCTATTGGAAACCCCAGGGTTGGACCCCTAAGTCTTCAAAACCACAAGCAATCTCTTTTGCTTTATAGAACACTTCTTTGCTGAAAATATTATAATTTGCTATTTCATGATAACTGCCTGAAAAAACCCCTCAGCAATGGAAACAAATCCTTCACTAATGATGTGCAAAGAAATGTAACTGCATTGTAAGCTTTGCATCATTTATAAATTAATGAGTTGCAGCTCCATTATGTGTGTGGTATTTAAATTCCATCATTATTGCTGTTTTAACAATATATGATAATTGGTTTTTGTGCAAAGGCAAACCTACATCATTTTATTTCATATAAAATTAACATGAAAATATTTTCTGCTCTAGAAAGTTCATTAGGAATATGTCACAGGCAAAATGGAAGGAAGACCCTGACACAAGTCCTAATATTCTATGCTTTAAATTGGAGAAATGTCTATAAACATATGAAACATCTGAAATAAAGTCCTTGATTCTTGTTCAATGAATTCACTTCAACATAGCTGTGTACTAATTTTCACTTTCAATATTTTTTTTTTAAAAGCTTCTTTATTTTAAAGATAATTTTAGAACTCAGAACTGAAGTTAGTTATAGCAGATAATGTAAAAATGTTGCACTGGGAAACATAAACTTTAGAGGTCTTGGAGAATTGTTGAAGGAGTGCAGCTTTTCTAATAAGTAGAGCTCTTCTTATCAGAAGGAACCAGGGTGTTGTTATCAGGGGAATTCTTCCAGAGACAGAGTGAGTTAAGCTGCAATGGCGAATGAGGGAGTATCACAAGCTTATCTTCCCCGGCCACTTCTTTCATAAGCTTCGGGACACTTCCTACATAGCCAATCACATGGATTTCCATAGGGTGTGCTGTTGATTACAGTTCTCATTGTAACAACCCATAGAAAGTTGGAATAACTATGCCACCCACTGAAAATGGATCATGTGCAAAATGTTTCCTGGAGAACTTTGGAAAGGTGACGTGGTCTGTGAATCAGTTCTATCTTTTCCTGTATTGAAAAATGCACAGGGTTGAAAGCTGAGATGCTGAAAATCAATGTAACTATTTACAAACAAAATTAAGAGAATGCAAGGGTGTGCAGAAGAGGTTCTCATGTGTCTTTGGCTTGAGGTAAGTTCTTTTTCTGTTATCAAAGGTGTTTATTATGTCTTTTTATACTTCTAAAGATTAAAAAACAAAAACAAAACCCTGCAAAAAGCCCCCAAAGGTAATAAAAATAAATTATTGTTTTTGTTGGCCATACAGTCAGCCAGATGTTTAGACTGGATTTGGCATTTTTATCCATCTATCAAATGTATCCCAAGGACCTGGCATAGGCAGATATCGTTTCATAGGGTTAAAAGTATCATTGCAGGATATAAGCTATTCCAAGTAAAGATGCCTTTTGCAATTGACTGATGGTGATTTTGTCAATATCAATGATGTTCAAGTGATGCTGCAGCTGCTTTGTGCCCAAGGTGCCTATTACTAATGGTGCTATCTTTGCTTTCTTTTGCCATAGTCATTCTATTCTATTTGCAAGTCTCTGCATTTTGGGATTTTTCTCCAGTTCTTTCTCTTCTGCTGTCTCTAGGCACTACAACATCATCATTAATCATTGTTATTATCCCAAACTCTTCCATTTTATACTGTAGAATTTATTAAACTTTTAAATGGTTTCTATTTTTTGCTAACTTAATAGAATAAGTGATCTTCCATCATAAGATAGCAGAATCTATCATAAACCTTCCATTTCCATTGTTCAAGTTATTGTTTATTATCCATGTGTGAAAATAAGATTGGGGGCATCTAAGAATTTCTAGAAATGGAACCCCACAATCCCTAAAATAAAACCACAAAGGGAAGGAGCCCCAAAAGAGAATTTCGCATACTTGGACCCACAGAACATTAAGTGAAAGCTATATGGAGAAATAAAAAATCAGATTCACATGTGGAACATCTGAATTTGGCAGGTCCTTATTTAAATATAGAGGACCTACTTTTTAAAATGAAAATAGATTTTTAAAAATAAACATTTAATATTTCCAGGGCATATATAAACAACATAAAAAAGCAATTTTGCTTTAATTGCTTTAAATGCTTGCTTTTACCCTATGATGCATAATTATGTTTTTTGAACAGGTTGTTTGAAAAATTGCATGCCTCACATTTTGCTGCTTACTATCAGAGATAGGCTTTTTACATTGTTTTGAGAATACATCCAAATTTGCTGCTACATATGAAACAGCAGCAGCTGAAAAGGGGGAAGGGCCAAAACAGGGCCCCACCCTCATCCCTCCCCTGTCTCCACTTAGCTCATAGTGGTATATTCAGCTATTGCTTTAAAGTTCTATACATTTCTATACATTTCTCTCCAGATGTAAGCTCCACAAAGTTATTTGCTTTTATTTGCCTTACCCAATTTAGAGAGAGAACACTTTGCACTGCTAACGTTATAAAAGAGAATAAAAACAGAAAGAAAAACCATAAAATATCCTAAATGTCTAGAAAGGTAAATATTTAAAAAATCCTAAACCCCCCCTCCCAAAAGAACTACAACCAATAAGGTTTCAGTGACCACAGCAAGCTTCAGAACACTTCTAGGTAAAGGTGGGAAAGCTTTTCCTATTTAGGTATTTTTTACATGAGTTGGGGTTGCGTTTTTTGGTCTTTCCAACCAGTCTGGAAATGAGCAATATCTGAGATAACGGCTTCAGATTATTTTCTGCTCTGCATTCATCTCCACCTATCTGTTTCTTGACTAAGCAGATGATTCCACTGGCCTACATTTTCAGCCTTTCAAAAAATGTGCCACTAGCACACAGGTAGTCCTAGACTTTCAATGGTTCATTTAGTGACCCAAGTTACAACAGCACTGGAAAAGTGACTCATGACCATTTTTCACATGACCATTGCAGCATCCCGATGGTCAGGTGATCAAAATTCACATGCTTGAGAACTGAATCATATTTAAGGTGGTTGCAGTGTCCTGGGCTCATGTGATTTTTCCCCTTTATGACCTTCTGAGAGGCAAAGTCAATGGGGAAGACAGATTCACTTAAACGTGTGTGACTAACTTAACAACTGCAATGATTAACAATTGTGGCACAAAAGGTCATAAAATGGGGCAAAAGTTATTTAACAAATGTCTCACTTAGCAACAGTAATTTTGGGATCAATTGTGGTCCTAAGTCTAGGGCTACCTGTAAATAGAGTCAGGATATGCAGAAACTGCTGTTTTTGTGATTTTCCTATCCTTCCTCCACTGAGATAATAAATGTTCACTTACTTTATTCTTACAATAATTCTATAACACAGATAAGATTTTGGTTTTCTCTCATGATGACCCAATAATTTCCTGCTGATCACAGATGTGAATTAAATTTAATAATCTGTCCATTCCTCCCCCTTCGTCAGATCACTTTTTTATGACTGTCTGTGAAATCTGATAAATTGGTGTTATACTATGTATCACAACTCTTTAAATTTTGCATAGGCATAGCAGACCAATAAAGTTTCTTCAAACCTTTATGGATTTGATTTGATTTGATTCTGTGTAAAATATGTGATCCTTCACTTCAAAACCTACTAGAATGCACTTTCCCATAATTTCAAAACAGCATCCCCTAGAGCTGAATATGTTTAATTTATTCTGTAAACATGTTGCATCCTAATGCATTTCTCTGTAAGTAGGTTGTGCCCACAATTCCATTTAGGAACTGAAAAGATTTAGACCTGAAACTTCAGAACTGAGAAAAATGTAAAGATCAGTGCTAACCTTTGAAGGAAAATATTCATCTTGTGCTTCACAGATGGCCTAACACAATGAGAAATAAATTGTTCGTATGAAAATTAACTTTCCCTTCCTGCTGGCTGCTTATAAAATTATTGATTTCTTATTTGAAAGGGATAGTCAGGAGAAGATTCAACTTAGTCTATCATATAATGCAAAAGCTAAATTTATTCTGTGTCTGATATGAAAATATTTTTAACTATAATATTAAAATAAACCACAACTCCAAGGGGAATCTTTGATAAGCAGCACAAAATATTAAAATATTAAAT